GGGTTGGTTAGGAGAGGGTTGGGATAGTGTTAGGTTAGGTTAGTGTTAGGTTAGGTTAGTGTTAGGTTGGGTTGGGTTACGATAGGTTAAGTTATATTAAGTTAAGATTCGGATATTATCTTGATTAAGGTTAGGTTAGGCTAGATTAGGTTAATGTTAGGTAAGGTTAATGTCATGTTTGGTCAGGTTAAACCAATGTTAGTTTGGGTTCAGTTAGTTTATATTAGGTTATGTTAGGTTACTGTAAGTTAGGGTTGGTTAGGTTAGGGTTGGGTTAGGTTACGATAGGTTTGGTTTGTTTTAGCTAGATTAGGTTAGGTTAGGTTAGGTTTGTTTGATTTGGTTATGTTACGTTGAATTGGGTTAGGTTGGGAGGTTAATTTAGGTTAGGTTAGACTAGGTTAAGTATGGTTGAGGTTATATATAGTAAGTTAACGTTGCTTAAGTTAATGTTTGGCTAGGTTAGGTTAGATTAGGTTAGGTTAGGTTTGTTTTAACTAAGTTAAGATTATGTTAGGTTAAGGTTACGGGTAATAGCCAACTCAGGCACAGGCCATCGACCCACAACGGAGCCGCGGGGGGGCAGAAAAATAAGAGTAAAAAGAAATTAAAAATAGAAGAGAAAAACATTATATTAATCTACACCACGAAGATGCCGGAAAACCAGCCTTTTAAAGTGAGACATTGTGTGAGTATGGAAACACAGAAGAAGGCAGAGCATTCCACAGTTTGGCTGTGTGAGGAAGGAAGGAGGTACTATAACGGGTTATTCTCGTGTGACCGACATCCACAGAGAAACGGTGGGCACCGCGGGCAAGACGAGTGTTACGAGCCCTCAGCCTTGCCGGCGGTACACAGGATGCCAAATCCACCGAACATTGCCCAATAAAGTACCTGTAAAAGAGAGAGAGTGAAGCAACATTGTGGCGAAGAGAAAGGGGAGAGAGATTATCAACGAAAGGAGGAGAGTTAATAAGACGAAATGCCTTTGATTCCACCCTATCTAACAGTTGGACAGAAGAAGAGCCACCCCAGATATGAGAGCAGTACTCCAAGTTAGGACGAATGACTCCCATATAAACTAAAAGCAACTGCTCAGGAGTGAAGTAGCTATGGTATCTGTACAGCATTCCCAGCTTTCGGGAGGCAGCTTTAGCTGTGTTATGGATGTGTGGCTTCCCTGACATATTAGAGGAAATGGTGAGGCCTAGCATATCTATTTTAGAATTTGGCGGAATGATTGCATCCTGAAATGTGATTGGTGGAAGATCATCTAATTTGGAAAGTGTAATTGGTAAATACCGAGTTTTATTACTATTGAATTTAACCAAGTTTCTTCCTCCCCATTCGGAGATGCTGCACAGATCTGCATTGATAGATGAAATGATATCAGCTCGAGAAACAGATCTAGTTTGAGAATTAGGGGGGGTGAAATGTGAAGAAGAGTGAAGAGTAGATTTATCAGTGTAAAAATGGATAGAATTAGTCGCAGTGTGAAGTATCGTTGATAAAAAGAAGGAAGAAAGTAGGTGAAAGAACAGAATCCTGTGGGACACCACTATTGGTTGAGAACGCACGAGAGATCGATCCCTCGACAACAACTGTCATGGATCGGTTCTCAAGGAAGCTAAAAATTAGAGAACAAAGCGGGGAAGAGAAACCATAAGAGGGAAGTTTAGAAAGCAAAGATTTGTGCCATACCCTGTCAAATGCTTTGGAGATGTCGAGGGCCACGACGAAAGTTTCCCCATAATCCCTGAGAGAGGATGACCAAAGATGGGTGCAATATGAGAGCAGATCACCAGTAGATATCGCCTGGCGAAAGTCATACTGGTGATCCAACAAAAGAGAATGGCGTTCAAGGTGACGGAAAATTAGAGTTTAAGATAGTTTCGAAAATCTAAGAGAGGGATGAAGTCAGGGGAATAGGCCGATAGTCAGAGGGTTTGGAATGGTCACCCTTCTTCAGGATGGGCTGAACCAAGGCATGCTTCCAAAGAAGAGGGAAAAGTTTGGGTTTTGAGGCAAAGGCGGAAGAGGCGAGCAAGCACAGGGGCCAGAACTTCAGCACACTCCCTCAGAACGCGAGGGGGTATTCCGACCGGTCCATGCGCCTTACTCACACCCAACCTTAACACACCAGCAACCCTCCGAGTGGAGATTATAGGAAAGTGCATAATTTCAGTAGGAGGTGCAGGGGTAGGAGGGATAGAGTAGGAGTCGTCTAAGGTGGAGTTAGAGGAGAATAAGGTACCAAAGAGGTTGGCTTTATCAGGGGGAGAGTTGGCTATAGAGTTATCAGGTCGGAAGAGGGGAGGAAAAGAGGGAGTGCATTAGTTATTACAGATGTTTTTGGTTAAGGATCAGAAGGATTTACTAGAGGGAGAATTAGTCAGGTCAGCGGTCTTTCTTTTTATAAAATTCCGCTTGGCCCTACGAAGAATATACAACAATTACTCTAAGTAACGAAAGATGAGTGGGTAACAAGGGGAGATAGTTTCATAGCTTGATATGCCCTATCTCTCTCCCTACACGCATGAGAACAGGAGCGATCAAACCATGAACGTAAAGTGAAAGTTTTGGTAGAAGATGGGATAAATGCACTCATACCACCCTGTATAACCCCAGCAATGCTGTCAGTACATACCAAGGCGTCCCGAGTGGAAAAGCAACATTCATGCCAAGGAAAGTCGTAGAAGAATTCTCGCAAGGATTGCCAGTTCGCCCTCCGATAGTGCCATAGTTGGCGTTTACAGGGGGGCGGGGTAGATGGTCGTGCCCAGTTTGATTTAATAGAAATAAGATTTTGATCAGAAGACTCTGTTGCGGAATGGTGGTCCTAGATTGTGTCAAACCATAGTTCACCACTCAGGTAACAGTAAAAAATAACAAGGTGGCCAACGAACGAATCAAGAGACAAGTTTACAAGTATTAACCGATTTGGGAATATTCACAACTCAGCAGACGAACAAGTTACGTCAATCATAATTACAGTGACCAAGTAAGCAACAAATAACGAGGGTTGGGGTACAGCAACCAATAGAATATAAAGAAGATTATATAACGTCACCGTTCCTTTACCAGTATAATGTTGTGAAATTTCAAGCCTAGTACACAACATTATATCCTACACACAACATTATATCCTATACAATATTATATCCTATACAATATTATATCCTATACACCAAAAATATTCTATCCTATTCTTCCTCCACTTTCCATGACTCACACACTCAACAATATAATGTATACTCAAGTTAAGTCTTTTGCTATGTGTTGAACTCCTTCCACCGTTTCCACCTTCCTCAGCCACGTCAAACCTGTTTCTCCCCTGTCTAGTGTACTATGGTCACCAAATCACATTTTGGTGGGAATCTACAACCACCAATTAGGCATCAGTTTTGCAGTGGCGCCATGAAACGTCACCTCTGATGTTTCAGCCGGCTGCACTCGTTCCATGCCCACGTGGTCGAGCTTTGGTTTGTTGTTGTTGCGGTAGTTTCAAATTGGTGGTTTCTCCTCCCGGGACTCAACATCACATCACAACCCTAAGGGGGCAGAAAATGAGTGAATAGTGTGAGGGGTTACCGTTAGAGGTAAAACAAAGATCAAGAATGTTAGAGTTGATCGTGTCGATCAGGAACGCGTGTAGGGTGTTTAATTATTCGTTCCAGATCATTAAGTAAGGAAAAAGAGAGTGCCTCAGCTCCACCTGGGTCATCCCTTGCAGAGCCAAGCCACTCTCTGTGATGTACATTGAAATCTCCTCGGTAGAGGATCTCGGTGTTGGGGTGTGTGGATAGCAACGACTCATGGCAAAAGGTGAGATAGTCAAAGAGTTCGAAATAGTTGGTAGAGTTGGGAGAACAGTAGAGGAAACAAAGAAAAGTAGTCATAGTTGGTAGAGATATTTTAAGCCAGATGACATCATAAAGGGAAGATTCAAGATCCGTGAGTCGAGTTTTTGGTGTACATGTGTTGCAGTAGGTGCCTACACCTCCCTTAGAACGGAAAGAGGTATAAAGGTTGTAGTTGGAGACTTGAAAAGGTCTGGGTGAAGTTGCATTGGTCAGTTGAAGTTCAGATAGTAGTAAGAGGTCGGGGAAGAGGTTGATAGATGGTGCTCCACAGAAGGAAAATTGATCTCAGTCCGCGAATGTTGGAAAAATAAAGTGTGAAAAAAGTCGATCTTCCAATAACAGCGTTGACGTCAGTTGAGGCCCCAATAGTTTGATGATGATCAGGTCGACCCTGGGGTCCACAACCTTCCGGGCCAGTAGGACCCATCCGAAAAGGTTCCGCTGTAATATTATTGTCAACTGACATCATAGATGAATAAAAGAATAGAAAGAATGGAACATAACAAGAGTGAGAAAGGTTATATACGTTATGTTGTAAATAGTAAGAGAAACAATTGAGGCCCTGCAATTGTGTGTAAATGGGGCAGAAAATCAGATCAGCAACCTGGGACTTGGTTCACAATATTCGTGATGCCATATGGCAGTAGGGTCTACCATTACACAACACATTATGCTTCCAATATCTTCCTAGGCGGTAGTACCTCCCTGATTGGTAGCTGCCTACTGTGATTAAAATATAATAACTTGGTTCAGGTGCGATGAACTCCACCTTCATCGCCTGGGACTACGACACACACCTCTCTAACAACGAAGACACATATGACTGCCTCACTGCCGAGAACTACGGCAAAGTGTGGACGGCTCGCCTGGCTCCCTGTTCTTACCCAAGGGTCGGTGTCATCTGCAGCAGGTAAATGACCCTCTCTCTCTCTCTCTCTCTCTCTCTCTCTCTATGAGTGTAAATCATTATGTCGTGTAAACATTACAGTTGTTCACAATATGTAAACAAAATACATAACTTTGTAAACAATGCATTAGAATCTTTAAGTCTGTATTTATTTTTTTCAAAGACTCTTTATGTATTTTGTAATTATGGAACTGTATTTGTTTTGTATTAAAAATCTGTATATGATCAATTTATTTAGAATCTTTTGTTGTATCCGGTTGCATTCTTGTTGTATCCTGTTGTCTTCTTGTTTGCATCCTGTTGTATTCTGGTTGTATCCCTTTGTATTCTTGTTGTATCCTGTCGTATTTTCGTTGTATCCTGTTGTATTCTTGTTGTATCCTGTCGTATTTTCGTTGTATCCTGTTGTATTCTTGTTGTATCCTGTCGTATTTTCGTTGTATCCTGTTGTATTCTTGTTGTATCCTGTTGTATTTTCGTTGTATCCTGTTGTATTCTTGTTGTATCCTGTCGTATTTTCGTTGTATCCTGTTGTATTCTTGTTGTATCCTGTCGTATTTTCGTTGTATCCTGATGTATTCTTGTTGTATCCTGTTGTATTCTTGTTGTATCCTGTCGTATTCTGTTGCATCCTGTTGTATTCTTGTATCCTAGTTGTATCTTTATGTATTCTTGTTGTATTAATATTGACGATATACTGACACGGTATACATATAAAATGACCTTTATTACTTTGTATTTCTCCTGTATTAATGCACGGGTTGCCACTGTATTAATACTGAATTTATGATGTATTTTTCTTGTATTTATGCTAAGGCTCTACATGGTATTCCTGCTGTATCTAAGGAGAGTTTGTTACTCCATAATTCTGTATTTGTTCTAAGACGCTGTACCGACACTGCTTTTAATACTGTAACCACATATCATTAACTGTATCTGTACACAGTTTTAACACTAATACTGTAACCACATATCATTAACTGTATCTGTACACATTTTTAACACTAATACTGTAACCACATATCATTAACTGTATCTGTACACAGTTTTAACACTAATACAGTAACCACATATCATTAACTGTATCTGTACACAGTTTTAACACCAATACTGTAACCACATATCATTAACTGTATCTGTACACAGTTTTAACACTAATACTGTAACCACATATCATTAACTGTATCTGTACACAGTTTTAACACTAATACTGTAACCACATATCATTAACTGTATCTGTACACAGTTTTAACACTAATACAGTAACCACATATCATTAACTGTATCTGTACACAGTTTTAACACTAATACAGTAACCACATATCATTAACTGTATCTGTACACAGTTTTAACACTAATACTGTAACCACATATCATTAACTGTATCTGTACACAGTTTTAACACTAATACTGTAACCACATATCATTAACTGTATCTGTACACAGTTTTAACACTAATACAAACCACATATCATTAACTGTATCTGTACACAGTTTTAACACTAATACTGTAACCACATATCATTAACTGTATCTGTACACAGTTTTAACACTAATACAGTAACCACATATCATTAACTGTATCTGTACACAGTTTTAACACTAATACAGTAACCACATATCATTAACTGTATCTGTACACAGTTTTAACACTAATACAGTAACCACATATCATTAACTGTATCTGTACACAGTTTTAACACTAATACTGTAACCACATATCATTAACTGTATCTGTACACAGTTTTAACACTAATACTGTAACCACATATCATTAACTGTATCTGTACACAGTTTTAACACTAATACAGTAACCACATATCATTAACTGTATCTGTACACAGTTTTAACACTAATACAGTAACCACATATCATTAACTGTATCTGTACACAGTTTTAACACTAATACTGTAACCACATATCATTAACTGTATCTGTACACAGTTTTAACACTAATACTGTAACCACATATCATTAACTGTATCTGTACACAGTTTTAACACTAATACTGTAACCACATATCATTAACTGTATCTGTACACAGTTTTAACACTAATACAGTAACCACATATCATTAACTGTATCTGTACACAGTTTTAACACTAATACTGTAACCACATATCATTAACTGTATCTGTACACAGTTTTAACACTAATACTGTAACCACATATCATTAACTGTGTATCTGGCACACAGTTTAACACTAATACTGTAACCACATATCATTAACTGTATCTGTACACAGTTTTAACACTAATACAGTAACCACATATCATTAACTGTATCTGTACACAGTTTAACACTAATACAGTAACCACATATCATTAACTGTATCTGTACACAGTTTTAACACTAATACTGTAACCACATATCATTAACTGTATCTGTACACAGTTTTAACACTAATACAGTAACCACATATCATTAACTGTATCTGTACACAGTTTTAACACTAATACAGTAACCACATATCATTAACTGTATCTGTACACAGTTTTAACACTAATACAGTAACCACATATCATTAACTGTATCTGTACACAGTTTTAACACTAATACAGTAACCACATATCATTAACTGTATCTGTACACAGTTTTAACACTAATACAGTAACCACATATCATTAACTGTATCTGTACACAGTTTTAACACTAATACAGTAACCACATATCATTAACTGTATCTGTACACAGTTTTAACACTAATACAGTAACCACATATCATTAACTGTATCTGTACACAGTTTTAACACTAATACTGTAACCACATATCATTAACTGTATCTGTACACAGTTTTAACACTAATACTGTAACCACATATCATTAACTGTATCTGTACACAGTTTTAACACTAATACTGTAACCACATATCATTAACTGTATCTGTACACAGTTTTAACACTAATACTGTAACCACATATCATTAACTGCATCTGTACACAGTTTTAACACTAGTACTGTAACCACATATCATTAACTGTATCTGTATACATTTATTAAAACTAATACTGTAACCACATATCATTAACTGTATCTGTACACAGTTTTAACACTAATACTGTAACCACATATCATTAACTGTATCTGTACACAGTTTTAACACTAATACTGTAACCACATATCATTAACTGTATCTGTACACAGTTTTAACACTAATACAGTAACCACATATCATTAACTGTATCTGTACACAGTTTTAACACTAATACAGTAACCACATATCATTAACTGTATCTGTACACAGTTTTAACACTAATACTGTAACCACATATCATTAACTGTATCTGTACACAGTTTTAACACTAATACAGTAACCACATATCATTAACTGTATCTGTACACAGTTTTAACACTAATACTGTAACCACATATCATTAACTGTATCTGTACACAGTTTTAACACTAATACAGTAACCACATATCATTAACTGTATCTGTACTCAGTTTTAACACTAATACTGTAACCACATATCATTAACTGTATCTGTACACAGTTTTAACACTAATACAGTAACCACATATCATTAACTGTATCTGTACACAGTTTTAACACTAATACAGTAACCACATATCATTAACTGTATCTGTACACAGTTTTAACACTAATACAGTAACCACATATCATTAACTGTATCTGTACACAGTTTTAACACTAATACAGTAACCACATATCATTAACTGTATCTGTACACAGTTTTAACACTAATACTGTAACCACATATCATTAACTGTATCTGTACACAGTTTTAACACTAATACAGTAACCACATATCATTAACTGTATCTGTACACAGTTTTAACACTAATACTGTAACCACATATCATTAACTGTATCTGTACACAGTTTTAACACTAATACTGTAACCACATATCATTAATCTGTACACACTAATACAGTAACCACATATCATTAACTGTATCTGTACACAGTTTTAACACTAATACAGTAACCACATATCATTAACTGTATCTGTACACAGTTTTAACACTAATACAGTAACCACATATCATT